GGCTGCGGTGGCCGGGAGCGGCCACTGTACTCCAGTCTGGGCGACGGAGTGAGACTCCAACTCAAAATATAAAATAAAATAAAATAAAATGTTTTTAATTAATATTCAAAAATACAGGAATGCACAGGGAACAGTGTGGTGCAGGCTTGGACGTGGCCATGTTCCTTCAGATCCTTTTAAGGAAACAATTGCGGGACGCGCTGGCTTGTGCCTATAATCCCAACACTTTGAGAAGCCAGGGTGAGAGGATTGCCTGAGCCCACAGATTCGAAACCAGCCTGGACAACTTGGCGAGACCTTGTCGCTACAATAAATTTTTAAAAAGGGTAGCTGGGCATGGTGGCTTGTGCCTATAGTTCCTGCTTCTTGGAAGGCTGAGGTGAGAGGATCACCTAAGCCCAGCAGGTCAAGGCTGCGGTGCCCCTGAGTGTGCCCCTGCACCCCAGCCTGGGCGACGGACTGAGACTCCGACTCAAAAAAAAGAAAAGAAACTTGTGTTTGTGTTGGAAGCCTCCTTCGTGCCCTTCCCTGGTCTTGTTTCTTGACCTTTCTTCTGAGCGGAGCTTCTGTTCTGAAGTTGAGATATGTCCTTTCTGTCCATGTTTTTATACTTGTACTGTGCATAACAAGCTATATAGAATTGCTGTACCTATCTGAACCTATGAAGATGGTACCAAACTCTACCTTTTTTTATTTATTTTTTATTTTTTTTGAGTTGGAGTCTCACTCTGTCACCCAGACTGGAGTGCAGTGGCACACTCACAGCCACTGCAGCCTTGATCTGCTGGGTTCAGGCAAGCCTTCCGCCTCAGCCTCCCAAGTAGCTGGAAACAGGCACATGTCACCACACCCAGCTAATTTTTTATATTTATTGTAGAGACAAGGTTTCACCATGTTGCCCAGGCTGGTCTCAACCCCCTGAGCTCAGGCAATCCTCTCACCTCAGCCTCTCAAAGGGCTGGGATTATAGGTGTGAGCCACGGCACCCAGCTCACAGAACAGTGGTGTTCGTAACTGTGTTTCCTCACACATGTGTGCAAGGGCTTTCCTAGAGTGCTTTACTTAGTACGTGGTGGGAGTCAGGGTCCTGTCACCTTTGTGTTTTGTGGCCTCAGTGAGATGAGTACAGAAACTGAGAACGAGCGTTGAGATGCTTTTACATGTGGTAACACAGAAATTGTGTGTCTGTCGAATTTATTAAAAATCCAAGCTGGGCAGCCCCCTCGGGTCTCCTCCCACTGTGGGAGCCTTTCTGTTCTCTTAATAAATCCTGCTTTCAAAAAAAAAATCCAAGCCTATTTTTTTTTTTGAGTTGGAGTCTCACTCTGTCACCCAGACAGTAAGAATGCTACTACAAACACTTTTATGTCCCCACACTGAAATATCAGATGAAGCGGACAATTTTCTATAAAAACATAATCACCAAAACTGACTTAAAAAGTAACAAATACCTCAGCAGACCTATATTCAATACAGAAATTAAATCAGCAGGTTAAATTTTACAAAAACAAACAAAAAAGCACAAAAATTCATCTCAGTAGACTGAGATGGTTTTCACAAGTGTGTTCTACCAGACCAACGACGACAAGATCACACAATTCTCACACATGATGTCTAAGAACACAGAAATTGAAGACGTGCTTCAGCTCATTTTGAAGCTAGTATAATCGCAATACCAGGAAATAGATGGTAAGAATGTAAGAAAAGACAATTATAAGCTGATCTCATGCATGAAAAGAAGAGTAGGAAATCCTAAAGAAATTACCAGCAAACCACATGCACCTCCTACGTTATGCCCAAGTGGATGTTTACTTCAGGAATGCAAAGATAATTCAGCAACAGAAAATCTACTGATACAATTTACCATGTTAACAGCTTTAAAAAGAAAAATTCAATGTTCATCTCATCATATGCACTTTTTCTTTCTTGTGTGTGCATTTCAATCTGTTAGGAATCAATATATCATCAACTGTCAGAAAAATGGATTACAGTACTAAAAAAAAGAAATTAAATAACAAAACAAAAATATAGGCTTGAGGCCGGGCTCGGTGTAATCCCAGCACTTTGGGAGGCCAAGGTGAGTGAATTGCCTGAGCCCACGGGTTCGAGACCAATCCGGGCAACTTGACGAGACCTTATCTCTACAATAAATAAAAAAAATAAATAAACTGAGCATGGTAGCACATGCCTGTAGTTCCGGCTGCTTGGAAGGCTGAGGCGAAAGGATCACAGAGCCCAGCAGGTCAAGGCTGCAGTGGCTGGGAGTGGCCACCGCACTCCAGTCTGGGTGACAGAGTGAGACTCCAACTCAAAAAAAAAAAAAAAATCAGGCCGGGCTCGGTGTCTCAGCCTGTAATCCCAGCACTTTGGGAGGCCGAGGTAAGTGGATTGCCTGAGCCCGTGGGTTCGAGACCCGCCTGGGCAACTCGGTGAGACCTCATCTCTACAATAAATCAAAAATCAGCCGGGTGTGGTAGCGCGCGCCTGTAATTCCAGCTACTAGGAAGGCTGAGGCGGAAGCATCGCCGGAGCCCAGCAGGTCGAGGCTGCGGTGGCCGGGAGCGGCCACTGCACTCCAGTCTAGGCAGTGCAGAAAAAATTTTTCAGTCTTTTCTAATGGAAACATGAAAGATTATAAATTTTCTTCTAAGTACTACTTTAGCTATGTCTCACAGGTTTTGGAATGCACTTCGCTTATTGGTGTTTAGTGTTATTTTCTTTGAAAACATTTTCTTTATCTCTTCTTTGGCTCATGATTAATAAAAGTTTATCTTTTCCATTTCTGGTTGAGTGGGTTTTGAGGCCACCTTTTTGTGTTGGCTTGCCGTGTTACCGCGTCGTGGTCAGAAAATAAGTGCTGTTCCATGGGTCCTCAAATATGTGTTGAGATGCGTGTCGTGGCCTGCTGTGTGGGGCCCTCTTCTGTCTCTGGTGAGCGTGCGCTCTCCGAGGTGGCCGTGGGCTCCTCGGTGTGTGTTGGTCTGTTTTAGGAGTCAGGCTGTTCACGTCTTCTGCGCTCTGCTTGTTTCTGCTTTCTCGAGCTACCAGCTCCTGAGAAAGGCATTAGAACCTCCCTCTCTGGTCTTGAAGTGGTTGACTTATAATTTGTTAATTTATACATATCTGGGGACTGTGGGATGAAGTCCATTCAGGGTTGTCCTGTCCCGCTGGAGAAGTCCCCTGTTTGGTTGTCAGCTGCCTTGTCCCTGAACATGTTTTCTGGTAGGATCTGCCCTCCCGATGATGATGTCGCTGTGCCAGGTTTCTCTTGGTTCATCATTCTCCTGGTGTGTCTTCCCTGTCTTTTTTCTCCGGCTTTTCTGTCACTGTGTTGTGGGGGTGTCTCTTGTCAACAGCACACAGCTGAACTTTGTCATCGTTTCCAACGTGGGAATCTGTGTTTCCCTGTGAGTTTCGTCTTTCTGTATGTGTTGTGGTTGCTGCTGTGTTTGGGTCTGTTTGTGTCCTTTAATTGTGTGCTGTTTACCATGTGCTTTTTTCTCTGCTGCTGTTTTCTCGCTTTTCTGATTGGTTATCGAATTGACTGAATTGTCTTTTTTCTGTCCTTCCTCTGATTTGATTTCTGGACTGTGGAACTGGTTGTTACACGTCCTCTCCATCCTCTTCTGAGCTGCGCCCTGGGATCCTGTCGCTGTGTCGACATCCCCCCGTCTTTGAGTTTGTGTTGTCCTTCTCCCGTTGATTATTATATCGTCGTTTATTATTGTTTGTTCTTAGCATGGATTTCAATTTACATGTGTTGAGTAATTTTTTCCTCTCCACTACTTCTGGCAACTCACTCTGGTTTTTTCTGCTGGTTTCTTTCCAGTGAAGGCTAAGGAGTGAAAACATCTTGAGTCTCCCTTGGTCTGAAGATGCTTTTCTTCAGTTTGTGAGTGGCAACTGAGCTAATTCTTCCTTACCCATTTGACACTGTAGTTCCCCTCCTGTTTGGCCTCCTGGACCTGCTCGCGAGTAGGCCGTCAGCTGGCTGCTCCTTGGAGGAGGCAGGCTTTCTTCTCTCCTGGCTTGCAAGGTCCCGGAGATGTGTCTGGTGGAGAGGAACCTGTGTCTCACTGGGCTGTGGAGCGGGTTCGTGGCAGCCCTCTGGAGGCCTCGGCTTCATGCGGGAGTCTGAGTCCTGGCATTCCTGGCATTGCAAGGCCTCGTCTCCTGGCCGTGTGCAGGCGAGAGCCCGAGTCCTTTGCCTTCTGTGTCTGGTGACCACACCAGGGCTCTCCCTTCGCTGACGGCATGAGGACTTCCCAGTCCTTCTCGGGACCCCTGCCAGGCATGAAAAACAGATGTGTTCTATTCCGTCCAGCATTTTAGGGTGTTGCTAGCTGAAGAGTTTCTCACTAACCTGTCTACCGTTTTCCTAGAGCTAGAAATCTGGCCGATCTGTTTTGGGTTTATGCCCCCGTGCCAGGGAGTTGTGTTGAAGGGGGGCACCAGGCTCCCCGTGAACAGAGCTGTGTCGAGACGCCTTTGTCTGGGGCCTGGCTGCAGGCTCCAGATCCCTTGCCTTTTAGGCAAGCTTGGTCTTGAGGTTCTGCTGACAGTTAAGTTCCTAGCCCAGTTGAACGTAGTGGATTGGTCTTAGGAAGGTGTAACATAGGTTGGTTTTGCGCTGGGGAACGGGATGTGTCCTGGAGCAGTGGGTGGAGCACACCCACTTGGAGGAACCACTTGGAGACTGTCCTTCCCTTCTGTCCTTTCCCCAGGGCCAGAGGTGAGATGCGTTAAAACCCCCGCTTCTCTGACTGAAGTGGAGTGTGAGGCTGTTCTTGAAGAGCTGCGGTGGGCGGGGTTGGAGTGTCCTCGGTCTCTCTTCCCTGGACCTGGGTCCCCGGCTGGGCAGCGGTGTCCGGGCGGGGCGCTGGCCAGTGTGCACGTGCCCGCTGCAGCCGCGTGCGCCCTCTGGCACCCCCACCTGGGGAGGGCCCTGCTCCTGCTTGCTCCTTCCCTGGTCCTCTGTGCACCACGGCCTTGCCCCGGTGGTCGCGTCTGAGCGCCCCAGCCTGTCGCTCACGCGGACGTCTCCAAGCCCTCCTGCTCTTACTTGCTGTCTTCTCTTGCCGGCAGCTCCTGTCACCGCTCCGCTGTGCCATGTTCCTTCCCGCCTGCTCCTCTGCTTTGATGCTTCCTGCCATGCCCTCCTAGATCGTGTCATTATTTCCTGCCAGGTTCCTTCCAGAAGGCCTTCCTAGGTCTAACCTCCCTCCCTCTCTCTCCTGCCCCAGGATGCAGTCTCCACTGCTGCCCCGCCTCTGGGCTGCTCTGCTGTGTCCTGGGTGCGCTCATGAAGTCCCCCGTTCCCACTAGCTGTGACCCTTGTGGCACAGTCCAGTGAAGGACTGCAGTGCTGACCTTTGTGACTCCTTCCCACAAAGCCAGCTCTGTCCAAGTAGAACATGAAGCAAGAGATATGTTCCCTTTGAGTTGCTTATGTTCTGGATGGATTTCAACTTAATGAGTAAACCAGTAAACTTTTGTAATTAAATGTTAGACCATGCTGCGGATTCTTAGTACTCAGGTACTATAGGAATGTCTTTTAATGAGTTTTTTTTGTTGTTGTATACTTATAGAAGCCGAGAAGATTGCACAAGTGGCAAAAATTCAGTTTCAGCAGAAGGTGATGGAGAAAGAAACGGAAAAGCGCATTTCTGAAATTGAAGGTGCTTTGCAGGGGAGGGGTGGGGGAGGTGAGACTGGCTGTCCTGAGCAGCGCCTAGGAGTCCTGTCTCGGGCTGTTGACGGTGGTGGCCGAGAAGGCTATAGACAGAGCCGTCTGGTCAGGGCAGGTGACTAGCCTGAGAATCCAGACAAGTAGTTTCTTTGAATTGCTGCTACGTGTCTCGCTCTTGGCTGGTCTGAGTGGGTGGCTTGGCCTCTCCTGTTTCTCTTAAGTTGGGCTTATTAGCTACCACTTGATTCTCAGGTAGACTGTGACGATTGCCCACAGTCCATCATAAAGAGTGGACAGTGTCATACACCCCAGCACTGCCAGTTTATTTGCCACCTGTCAAAAAAGTTAGTTGGGAAAAATAGAGATCCCAGTTTTCATGGAGGACCTCAAGCCCTGGGATTTCACACAGTGAGGTGTTGATGTTCTTAGCTCCCGTCTTGAAGACACTTTTCCTTTCTGAGTTGGAGTCTCACTCTGTCCCCAGGCTGGAGTGCAGTGGCTCAGTCACGGCTCATCACGGCACGCCGCAGCCTTGACCTCCTGGGCTCCGGCAAACTTTTGGCCTCAGCCTCCTGAGGAGCTGGGACTACCGACGCACGTCACCATGCCTGGCTGAATTTTAAAATTGTTGTAGAGGCATGGTCTCACGGTGTTGCCCAGGCTGGTCTTGGAACTCCTGGCCCCAAGAGAAGTCCTGCCTCGGCCTCCCAGTTGACCACTGCACCCAGCTGACACTTTTGCGTATACACTGCTGCTTCCTGTCTTTCTGTGTTAACTGCTCTGGACACACTTGGAGGGGCTAGGGCCAGCGCAGTAACTGGAGCAGAGCCTTGTGTCTTCACTGAGTCGTCATACTGAAGCCTAGTGCCAGGGTGGGGTGTGAGGCGTGTGCGAGGGGAGGCCGGGGAGCGGCAGAGACAGCCAGAGCCACTTCAGGGAGAAAACGAGGGCAGCGACGAGCTGAGCGTCACTGACCTTGGCCAGAGAGCTCCCCTTTGAGCAGCAGCTGTCTGGGGCCAGGATTTGAAACTGCTCGTTATTAAGAACTTGCAAAGTGAGATAAGCAGTCGAAATACTAGGGTGGAGAAAGGGACCCTCCTCCTGCTGACGGGTAGATGATCTTCAGCACCTGACGCTGTTTACCCCCAGATGCGGCGTTCCTGGCCCGGGAGAAGGCGAAAGCAGACGCCGAGTTCTACGCTGCACACAAGCATGCCACCTCGAACAAGGTGACCGCCTGTTGTGCCGTGTTCCCTCCTCAGGGGCTCTAGCATGACGGAGGCGACCCCAGCCAGAGCCGGGGAAGGGTCGTGCAAGACAGCCCCCTATCAGCCAGCCACACAGCAAGACCCCCTGCCCCCTCCCTCGTGGGGAGCAAGCACCGTTGTAGCTCCTCATAACCGTGAGGGGCCAGGACTAGGGTGCAGGCGTGTGAGACGGGGCAGCGGTGCAAGGGCTCAGTAACCAGGAAAGCTGAAGGCCTTCTGAAGTGACAAGAGGGACAGAAGGGTGAAGTTCCTATGGAACTACTTCCAAATAAGGTTGCTTCCTGGGTAGATGTTAGCCTTGTGTAGAGCAGTGCTGCTCTCCAGAAACATTCTTGGCACTTTGGGGCGAGACACTTGGTTCCTTGCTGAAGACCATCGCATACCGTGTGGGAAGTTTTGCATCCCTGGCTCTTGCCTGGTTAATGCCAGTAGTAGTACTCACCAGTTGTTTTAATACCCCCCCCCGCCACACACAGACACATATTTCCAGATGCCCCAGTTGAGTACTCTTTGTTTATTGGACTAAAAAACTGTCTCAGCCATGAGGAATTGCACTTGGGGTGACTTGAGAAGGGAGGCGTATGACATATGGGTGAACAGTCTTTGTGTAAGACCTGGGGTACGTTGGCTGCAGAGCACAGGCCGGGCGAGCAGAGGGTGTTCAGTTAAGAGACAGCGGGAAGCCCCGTAGTGTTCTGAGAAGGGAAGGATGGGCCCGAGATGGGTGAGGTTGTCGCGGGGTGAATGGAGCAGGAGCAGGCGCAGGCTGCGAGAGGGCTTGCAGGGGTGGATGGTGCACTAGGAGGGTTGTAGTCAAGGTTGCAGGTGCCATCAGGGCTGAAGGTTTCCGAATTTAGACAGGAACAGCAGCATCTGTATTTAGAAGAAACGGTACAACCGAGAGTCGCTGGTCCTTTGCACATCAGTCTCAATGTAGAAACCCTCTGGACACTGAAGGACGCAGATCTGTGGAGACAGTGGAGCCTGGTCAAGGTGGGCGAAGATGAGCAGCTGCAGATAGGAGCTAGCCGTCGGGCTCCGTGTGGGAGGAGCTGGCTAGGCATGGGTTCAAAGACCTTGCCCTGGGGTCGGCCTCACTTGCAAGGGCCAGTGTTCTGTGGCATTTGGCAAAATGCTGCTGAAAGGCCCATCTGCATTTAAAAGGCTGAGAACGTCAAGAGGTTGTGCACGGCCCTGGCGTGCTTGCAGTGTTTGACAAGGCTCTAAATCCAGTGAAGAGGGTGGCAGTCCAGGGAGGAGAGGTGTCAGAGTGCAGGACACAAGTGCATGGCTGTGAAGGGCAGGGTGGGCATCTGCGGGGGCGGGCAAGCTGGAACTCAAGAAGGGGAAGAGCAAGGGAGGGGCCGAGGGCTTCGGAGGTGCCTGTTCCAGGAACAGTGGACACGAGTTTTAGGCAGCGCCAGAGAAATTGTGTTTGAATATATCTTGGCACCGTGATTTAAATGACACAAAACAACTGGGACAGCACAGGCTATCTGGTGGTTCAACAGTTAAACATACAGCTTCTGGGGAAAGACAGGAAGCCCAATCAGGTGACTTCTTGGGATTTTTTTCCAGTTCTCGAATTTTGTCAAAAGAAGCAGAATCACAGGATTCTGAGGCCAGGCCCTCCCTTCAGAGCTCTGCCACTCCCAGCTGTTGACCTGTGGACCTCTCGAGAGAGAATCAGCAGAGCCCAGCACAGTGGTTCACGCCTGTGATCCCAGCTACTCAGGAGGCTGAGGCGAGAGGATCACTTGAGCCCAAGAGTTTGAGGCCAGCTTGGGAACATAGCGAGACTCTATCTTTAAAAAAAAAAAGATGCCGGGCTTGGTGGCTCAGCTTGTAATCCCGTGCCTTTGGGAGGCTGAGGTGAGTGGATT